AGATAGATAGATAGATAGATAGATAGATAGATAGATAGATAGATAGACGGACAGACAGACAGACAGACAGATAGACAGATGTGGATGGATGGGTAGGTAGGTAGGTAGGTAGATAGATAGATAGATAGATAGATAGATAGATAGATAGATAGATAGATAGATAGATAGATGATAGATGATGATAGATGATAGATAGATGATAGATAGATAGATAGATAGATAGATAGATAGATAGATAGATAGATAGATAGGATAGATAGACGGACAGACAGACAGACAGACACGTAGATGGGTAGGTAGGTAGGTAGATAGAGAGAGGATAGATAGATGATAGATAGATAGATAGATAGATAGATAGATAGATAGATAGATAGATAGATAGATAGACGGACAGACAGATGTGGATGGATGGGTAGGTAGGTAGATAAATGGATGGATGGATGGATGGATGGATGGATGGATGGACGGACGACGGACAGAGACAGAGATAGATGAGATAGATGGATGGATGGATAGGTAGGTAGTAGGTAGTAGATAGATAGATAGATAGATAGATAGATGATAGATGATAGATAGATAGATAGATAGATAGATAGATAGATAGATAGATAGATAGATAGATAGATAGATACATTCTAATAACCATATCTGAGCAAATGGATATAGGTTTCATGAGCTAGGAATGGAAGTCAAACTTATCCACTCCCTTCAAGATTCAAAAAGTTGCTTAAAACAAGTATTTTCCCATGCCTATCTGGAGATTAGTGGCTTGCTGCCATCTTATCATATTTATATTTTTAAATTAATTGATTCATTGCTATTTTCTACCTTTCCTGTATAACTTTATTATTGATTTACTATATTTCCTGTAATTATTGATATATTTTCTGTGAATGTTGTAAATGAATTATTGTTCATCTGCATAATTGAAAACTGTTGTGAGTTTTTATTGATTCAGCAGTATACAAGTAGAACAAATGAACAAATGAATCAATCAATCAATCAGTCAAGAGCCTCATCAATCATACCCAGAACTATTTTGTTGTTTCTTTTGGCAGCACTTCACAAAGTTTCAGATAAGGGTTTTACCCATACCTGTTTCCCACCTATAAATGAAATGAAAAAAAGAATATAAAACTGTGACTTTATGCTGGAGGCATTTAAGGCTGCCCGAAAATACATTTCATTTAAAACTTATATTCAGGGATGTACTGAAAAAGTTCCAATTCAAGACAATTTCTCTCAGGATCTCAAAAGTTAGCATGGCCTTAAAAAAAAAACCTATTGAAATATTTTCCATTATGGAAAATGAAGAACAAAAAGCTGCATGCGCATAAAATCATGTGCACGACGAGCCATATTGAGGCATACATGATGCTTCATTGACTGAAATAATGACCTTCTATTTCTAGCATTGAGTCTGTCGAATGCCATTGTTTCTACAGTATAGGTAAACCCAGTAGCAAGAAGGAAGGAACAATCCTTTTGAGAAAATCTCACATGTTGCAAATGGAGGGGGAAAAAAGAAAAAGAATTACCGTGAGACAAATGAACTGCTGAGACATCAGTATAGTGATTGACTCTGTAGCATAAGGGGAAAAACAACGACTGGCATCTTTCATTAACATCACTTCAAACTGCAACTTTTGTAGCTGGGACTAACCTTAGCAAACATAGCGTTCATTATCAGAGAATGCAAAGGTAAGATATTTCCCTCTGTGCCTCCTACTTTGCCAGTCCACAGTTTCCATTGATCATTTTCTGTAAATAAATGAATGTTACTAATTCTGTACCATGAGAAGAACGATAACTTGAGCCACAGCAGGCGAAGGTGTTAATCAAGGCACGCCAAGATTGAGCACCCTGTTATAAGGGAAAGGGCACAGTAATCACACAACATAGCAATTTACTCAATCCCCCACAGCAAACACACTAACCACAACCTTATATGAAAGAGCTCGAGAGAGGTAAGGCGGAAACAAATCTTGCATTTGCAGCGTTCTTACGAATGAACGTCAACTTTAATTTCTTTTTTTTTTTTACCGTGGGAAAATTCCTTGCTGTATTAATAGTTTTGCTTTTTATAGATCCCATATGCTGTACAAATTGAATAGCCAGCTATTAATAGCCATTGCCATGGCAATGGAGGCATTTCTGGAATACAGCATGACTTACACTTCATGGCAAACAGAAAGACCACGCAAAATTGCATCCAAAGGAACCTCAGAAAGTTTCTACCAAGGATTGTGTTGGTCCATCTGTTTAATAAGGGATTCCTCCTAGGGGTTAACCTGCCTTTCTATAGCTAGCCACCTTTGTATCTCTTGCTATATATTAGTTTGGGTATCTATCTGTAAATCTACAAGAACTGTTGATTTTTCATATGGAAGAGCTATGACACCTTTTTCATAATGTATAAAGAGCACTACTGTGGTAGGAGACTTTGCTAAGGATCGTTTTGTTGATTGTCATACAAAGGCAGTTTCTTAGGACACCCAAACTGAAAATAGAAATTCTCTAGATAGCTAGCTTGATACAAATCTCTGAAATGACTGTGCGGCCTTGAGCAAGTCCCAGTTCTCTGCCTGGGTTCCTGAAGGCAAAGAAACTGTATCTTTTCACTAAAAAGAAAAGAAGAAGTTATATGTAGCATTGATATAATAATTCTTGGAATCCTATCTGTTGGGATGTTTTATTCATTTTGGAGCATCACAGATCTGGAAATTACTGCTTCAGAGACTTGACTTGTCTATGGTATGCTTGTCATTCTTTTGGCATTACTCTACCCCAAATAAAACGTGAAATAGTGCTTTAGCTTAGTTACTTAACAATATCTACTTAACTATAGTAGATACTTAACAATATCACTACTGGGCTGTGTAATAACTCGAATGCCTTGACCATTGAAGAAAACCATTTGTAAGCTCTTTGTGTGTATTATAGGTAAAGGTAAAGGTTCCCCTTGCACATATGTGCTAGTCGTTCCCAACTCTAGGGGGGGTGTTCATCTCCATTTCAAAGTTGAAGAGCCAGTGCTGTCCGAAGACGTCTCCGTGGTCATGTGGCCGGCATGACTAAACGCCAAAGGTGTATGGAACGTTTTTACCTTCCCACTAAAAGTGGTCCCTATTTTTCTATTTGCATTTTTTACGTGCTTTCAAACTGGTAGGTTGGCAGAAGCTGGGACAAGTAATGGGAACTCACTCCGTTACGCGCTACTAAGGATTCGAACCGGTGAACTGCCAACCTTTCAATCGACAAGCTCAGTGTCTTAGCCACTGAGCCACCAAATCCCATGTATTATAGCAATGCCAAATTAATGGCCTCATAACCTAATTTGAACAGAATTTGGTAACCACAAATGCTAAGAAATGTTGAGTTCCCGATCCTTATGTTGCCAAAATAGGTGGTGGATCCACCTTCACTTTGAAGTACTTCTATAAATGCTCTTGACAGTCCCTTCTCCTTTTGAGGTTCTTCACAGTGACTTGCTCTTTCAGGTTCTCCTCATTTTATTAAGGGGTTATATATACAGGTAGTCTTTGACTTACAGCAGTTCATTTAGTGACTGTTCAAAGTTACATTGAAAAAATGACTGATGACCACTTTTTACACTTATGACCATTGAAGCATCCCATTGCTCACATGGGATTGACAAGCACCTTGTCAATCAGGTGCTTGACAACTGATTCATATTTATGATGGTTGCAGTGTCCTGTGTGTGTGTGTGTCATGGGATACCCTTTTGTGACCTTCTGACAAGCAAAGTCAATGAGGAAGCCAGATTCACTTAACAACTTTGTTACTAACTTAACAATGGCAGTGATTCGCTTAACAACTCTGACAAGAAAGGTCATAAAATGGGGCAAAACTGACTTAACTCACTTACCAACAGAAATTTTGGGCTCAATTGTTGGCATAAGTTGAGGGTTACCTGTATACAGCTGGGCAGTAAGGGCAGGCAAAATCAGTCTATTAAAAAACAGTATCTTTACAACATGACATGCAAGTAGGGAGGCTAAGATAATAGAACATTATTACTGTGTTTGCAGCTTGAAGAGTTGTCCTAGATGCTGACCAGCTCTAAGAGCTATTTTAGGTGAGCAAGAGTCCCCGATGGGAAAAATGGAAAGGAGTGAAAAACTGGCACTAAGAAAGGCACAGAGAAAAATCAGAATGGCTTTTACAAAATGATGAACAGGTGGAGTGATGTTTTCAAGAGTGTCTTACATATTGAATAGGGAGAATAAATTGAGTAACTGGAGAATGTGAATGTATACACATGAATAAATAGCAATTTATTTAAATTAATTACTGGCTGTGCATATGCATATAGTCATAATCTCCAGTTACATGTGACCATATCAAATTTAATTAATTAATTACTGGCTGTGCATGTGCACATATTCATCTTCTCCAGTTTTACGTGATCTAAGCAAATTTAAATTAATTAATGTAATTTACATCCTGATCTTGTCCTCTCTTGGTAATATGAACCCTAGCTTACTACGTAGCTTCAGTGTGTCCTTGCCTGCTCTTCAATTTCTGCACTTGTTCTATATAATCAAGAAGTGGCCAACTTTTATTATTTTACCAATGTATCCAGCCAACAGGGCTAAGTCATCTCCAACAGTACTTTGCAATGTCAAAAAGATACATAACTGTCAGTCTTCAAGTCTGTGATGGCAATACATTTTGATTCTTCAGGCATTTCACTTCTAGCAAAAGCTCACAGACATGAAACCGCTGAATAAGCTGATTTACTGAAGACAAGATAAAAGCTATATTCACAGGGAAGATCTGTCTGATTTCTGCAAAAAAAGGGGGAAAAAGAAAAAAACAGAAATCAATCATTCTGTCTGTCTGCCTGTCTGCCTGCCTGCCTGCCTGCCTGCCTGCCTGCCTGCCTGCCTGCCTGCCTGCCTGCCTATCTATCTATCTATCTATCTATCTATCTATCTATCTATCTATCTATCTATCTATCTATCTATCTATCTATCAACTATCGGTATCTATCATCTACGTCTGCCTGTCTTTTTATCATCTATCGCAAGGTTTAAATCCAAGCACTTTTCCTCCCTTCTTTTCAAGACAGTTGAAATTTGGCTATTCTCTTGGTGACTCTAAGAACTCAGTGCAGGGGTGAAATCCAGCAGGTTCTGACAGATTCTGGAGAACTGGTAGCAAAAATTTTGAGTAGTTCAGAGAACCGGCAAATACCACCTCTGTCTGGCCCCAGAGTGGGGTGGGAATGAAGATTTTGCAGTATCCTTCCCCCAGGAGTGGGGTGGGAATGGAGATTTTGCAGTATACTTTCCCTGCCATGCCCACCAAGCCACGCCCACCAAACCACACCATGCCCACCAAGCCATGCCCACAGAACCGGTAGTAAAAAAAATTGAATTTCACCACTGCCTCAGTGTTCTATCGAGCCTGACAACTGATGCTTGTCTCCTCACCATCTTTAGTTTTTACGTAGTACACAGCCAGGGGTGGTATTCAGCCGGTTCGGACTGGTTCAGGCGAACCCGTAGCTCTGACTTTGTTCCGACGATCAGCTGGGCCCGCTCACCCGCCCCTGCACTATACCAACCTATATTTCCTTTGTTTGAAGCCCAGCTGATAGGCATGATAGAGCGGATTGCCGCACCTCAGCTGTTTTACTCACTGGGGCTGCAGTAGAAGGTAAGTTTTAGAGATGTTTTCAAATGCACTGTGCACACTCAGCGAACCAGTTGCTACATTGGTTCAATCCACCACTGTACACAGCTATATAATTAGCCCAACTGTATATCTGATTAAATGTTGATGGAAATATGTAGGAACTCCCTTTATTTCTTTTCCCATCTTTTAATATTTTCCCTTTTTTGGTTGGTTGGTTGGTTGGTTGGTTGGTTGATAGATAGAGTAAAGTTGGGATATTATTTAGTTGTTCACATGCATCTCACAGCTATAGATAAATTAAATTAAATTAATTAAAACTATGAATAAAGATGTATTTTAATATTCTAGCATTAGAATTTTAATATTCTAGCATTCACATATATAAATAAATAAGTTGGTATGTATGAATGTGTTTCTGTATATTTTTTTGTGTGTGTAATAAACACGCATATACAACACAAACAAATGAATATGTCATTTTTAGTAGCCATTAGTGGAATTCTAACAGAGTAAGTTTTACCTTTTTATTAATTTATTTCCTAGAACATGCTGTAAACCTAAATCTTTAATTTTGGCAGTGATGGTCCATAGTCTCATAAAAAATAATTTGTGTCTGACTGTCTAATAAAGATGGTGGAAAGATTCTTCACACGCAAATAATTGACTGCATACTTCATTGCAATGGGTCATGTCATGCCTGTATTTGATGTCACACTGTGCTTTTTTTTTTTTGGTCTATGTTGCAATTCAAGTTATGGTTTGTGAGTCTGAGATCCCTCTGCACTTACAATGTGACAACTGAAGTCCTGAATGAGCTACCATCTTTAAGCCGTTTCATTCGGAATACATCTTCATACATGCCACATTTGGAGCAGGGAGTTTCTTGCTCCATGCAATGGAGGGAAGTTAGGGAGATGAATCTTTCTTGGGCATTCCCCAAACTCACTAGTAGGGTAGGAATACAGATGAAAACAAGACAATGAAAGCAGCACCTTGACATCTTCTCCGTGCTGCATCTCAATTCTATGCCTTACTTTGTGTTGATACAAATTACAGTAAACTGAAATCACATGCTTTCTTTTTAGTGATTTATTAAGAAAGGCTTATTCAACTATCCTAACTTCAGAATAGGGGGTGGTGAAGGATCAGCTTCAGCTCAATCCTGACAAGACTGAGTGGCTGTGAGCTATAAGTTTCCCATATCCAATCTTTTGCCATCTTTAACTCCGGTTGGGATGACACTCTTCCAGTCAGAGCTGGCGCATAACCTGAGGTTTTCCTGGACTCATAACCTCTGACTGAAGAGTGGGAGGCAAACATGACCAGGAAGTCCTGTGCACAAATAATTGTTTTGTGTGCCAGTGTGTGCCATTTCCTAGTCTGAAGGCATTGCTCACGGTCAGTCATGCCTCAGTCATTTCCCAACTGGACTAAAGTACTACAATACACTGTACAGGGGACTTGCCTTTGAAGACCATTCAAAAACTGCAGATGGTTCAGAATTTTAGTTATTTAATTATTATTCCAATATATATGGGCATCCAAGGTCATAATTCTGGACTGCTAGCAGTGTTAAAAAAAAGTAATAAAAGCACAAAAAAGACAAAACAGTACATATAAAATCGTAACCCGGGTAAAAACAGACCTATCAGTCACAATTAACATAGCCAGGGTTCCTTCTGGTAGATGGAAAGTCTGTAAGTTTGTTTAATAATAAATAAATACACCAAAACAGGTTTGTGCAGAATCTTAGTTTGTCCTAGGACTGCACTCTTCTGGACAGGGAACTCTGATGTCATTCCTGAGATCGGTTGGAGCCACTCTGCCAGGTGAGGAGTCATAGACCTGATTGCTTTGATATACATACATGCATGTCTGTATGTCTGTATATAAAATGTATGCATGTATGTATGTATGTATGTATATACCATGTTTTCCCGAAAACAAGACCCTGTCTTATACTTTTTTGAAGCCTGAAATAAGTGCTTAGCCTTATTGCAATGCACGCAAAAGCCCGATTCGGCTTATTATCAGGGGATATCTTATTTTGGGGAAACAGTGTGTGTGTGTGTGTGTGTGTGTGTGTGTGTGTGTCTGTATCTGTGTCTGTGTCTGTGTCTGTGTCTGTGTGTCTGTGTGAATATACTCAGGGGTGAAATCCAGCAGGTTCTGACAGGTTCTGGAGAACCGGTAGCGGAAATTTTGAGTAGTTCGGAGAACTGGCAAATACCACCTCTGGCCGGCCCCAGAGTGGGGTGGGAATGGAGCTTTTGCAGCAACCTTCCCCTGGAGTGGGGTGGGATTGGAGATTTTGCAATATCCTTCTCCTGCCACGGCCACCAAGCCACGGCCACCAAGCCACAGCCACCAAGCCATGCCCACATAACCGGTAGTAAAAAAAATTGGATTTCACCACTGAATATACTGTATATATAGCAATGGCACTTATTTATATATCACTTCACAGTGCTTTACAGCCCTCTCTAAGTGTTTACAGAGTCAGCCTATTGCCCCCAACCATCTGGGTCCTTATTTTACCAACCTCGGAAGGATGGAAGGCTGAGTCAATCTTGAGCCAGTCAGGATCAAACTGCTGGCAGTCAGCAGAATTGGCCTGCAATACTGCATTCTAACCATTGCACCACCAGGGCTTATATATATATATATATATAGTGTGTGTGGGTATGAGAGAGAGAGGGTGGGAGGGAGGGAAGAAGGGAGGAAGGGAGGGAGGGAGGGAGGGAGGGAGAGAGAGAGAGAGAGAGAGAGAGAGAGAGAGAGAGAGAGAGAGAAAGAAAGAAAGAAAGAAAGAAAGAAAGAAAGAAAGAGAGAGAGAGAGAGAGAGAGAGAGAGAGAATAGAATAATTGTTAGTACCAGTAATACCATCATAGAACAGATTTGAAATGATCTGAATTGTCCCACTTTAGAGTCATAACCAAATACACCCCGTAGTAGTTCAGTTTCTCAGCTCCAACATTTGGCAGGAAGGAGAGGGGAGACAGTGATGAAGCAGTCTTCCTAACAACAATAGCTCAGTCTTCAAATGGGAGATGGCATGTAGATATCCTGCATTCTGGATTTTTTTTGCTTCATAGGGGATGAAAATGCAATATTAATGCCTGCTGCAAAGAAGTGGATTAATGAAAAGAAGGGGGAAAAAGCACAAAGTACTATCTTGTTACCAATCAATAGATCTGAAGGGCTTGAGCTGATGCCAGAATAAAGGGCCCATGCAAACTTGGCTGGCAAAGCGTGCATTTGAAATAAAGCCTCAGTGAAGAGTAGCAGAGACAGTCGCCATTCCCACTCTGAGTAATGTCTGCCTTCTATTCAGTAGCAGCCCACGAGGAGAGTGGCAGACAAAGACATACCCACTGAAAAACATCACTCTGATAAAATCCTTGTACTCATGGCAAAAATCTTATAATTGCTGGCTGATGAGGTTTGCCTCAAAAGTATGTGGGGAAGACACAGCATTCCCGCCCACCCCAAAAAGGCGGCAGAAATGTGTGAACGAGAAAACATAGTAGATAATGACCAACTGATGAGGATTGGCTTTGAAGGTTTTGTTCTAATCATAATCTTACCACTGTGGTTTGGAGCCTTATTTAGTTTCCCCCCCACTCAGCTCTGCAGTATTTAATCTAGGATCAAACCATGAATCTTTGGCACAGATCCTTCTCGGTCCCAGACTGAGGTCCTGCTGCCAATATTCCTTGATGGGGAGTGAAATTTGTTCACACATTTGAGATGAGTAGGGCTGATGATGTCAGTATGAATCTTCTAGGGTGCTTTCAAAAAGACAGGCAGATTAAGTGAGTCAGATTATAGGGTTTTTCATGTTTACATCAACTTTTTTGGAATTGGAGGATAAAATCTGCCACTTTGTACAAAAAGTGCATTGCAATAAGTTGAGTCTCTCTTAAAGCTCACTGCTGTCCCAGGAAATTCTTCAGAGTGTTTCAGACAGTTTTTCTGCAAGCTCATTCATGTTTCTATGTCTGTAGGTTATTGCTGTTCCCATTATCTGTTACCTGTGTGAAGATCTTAAATAGCTGATCCATTTTTTTTTTCAGAGAAAGAGATTCTAAAGGAAGAGAAAGAAAAAAAGAGAGAATTATAAATAATAAAAATAATAGTATGCATTAAATGCACTTTTCTGGTCTTTTATGAGTGTCAATGGTGAATTTATGAATGAAGCAACAGATAAGGTCGAACTGAGGTCATGGCTCTAAGTGAGACACATTTCGATAATGTACAGAGCATGACTGAAGACTTTCATGCCAGGTAAAGTCAGGCCTGGAAGCCATCTTTTTGTTGGATCTTCAGGCCTGCCACATTTACTACTGTGAGAAACTCGGAGGGGGAAATAATTGTGGAGCTGGAATTGGGAGGCATCTCCAGTTGGGACGGTGCTTTGATTGGACCATGTGATAGACTTGTGAGTGTTGGGCAGGGATTTGATCTTTCCTTTGGGTGAGGAAAACCTGGAAACTTTCAGATTCGGGTTTTCCCAGATGTGCCAATATGACATCTCTAATAAAACGGAACTTTGAGGAACTTCGAGCCTCAGAGGTTTATTTCATTGGGGGTGTTACTTGGAATCCTGACATTAACCCGAATATCCTCTAAAAATTCAACCAGCTCCCCTGATACCGGGGTGCTGTCCCGGGTTCTGAGCTCTGAATGTTGACCCGAAACCTGGCAGCATGAAGACTCAGGGAAGATGGAGGAAGACGAAAGCCATGGAGGGAACCATGGGGATTGGCTTGGTGACTTCTGTCAAGACAATCTATTCCCCTTCTCAAGCCATGGTGGAAGTGGAAGAAGCTGCAGAAAGAGAATGCCAGCTGGGTGCCTGGTCCACAGAGCCAGTGCCTAAGCGAGCCGCGCAACTGGATCTAACCCCAGGGGAAGGAGAGGTGACAGCTTCACAGCTGTTAGCATTTTCTTGAGGAATGGACAGATATTCTTCTAATTGAGAGGATAGTGGAATTGCAGGCAGTGGAGAGGTTGGCTTTTCCCAAAAGGGTACTTATATATTCAGATGAAATGGACAGGAAGTTCAGGATCAGGGAACTCTATCTAGACATTTCTTTTCTTCAATTATACACAATTAATAATACAAACCAGATTTCCCAAGAATTAGGATGCTCCAGAGTGAATTTGGTATCCAAACCATGTATACTAATTGACTGACAGCAGTATTAAGAAGGAATGCTAATGGTTGTGGATTTTCAAAATAATACAAATGAATAGGATAATGCTCTCCATACAGAATGCTTTGTGCTAGTTGATTTGTGAACAAAGATCCTAAACAAATGGTCAACTTCTCCATTTGCTTTAAGGAATATCTGCCAAAACATCCTTTAATCTGAATCTTTTTTTATATATATATAATTTGATTTATATGCCGCCCTTCTCCGGAGACTCAGGGCGGCTTACAATGCGTTAAGCAATAGCCTTCATTCTTTTATATATTTTAAACAAAGTCAGCTTATTGCCCCCACAAACTGGGTCCTCATTTCACCTACCTTAGAAAGGATGGAAGGCTGAGTCAACCTTGAGCTTTGGAGAGATTCGAACCAGCAGAAATTGCAGGCAGCTGTGTTAATAACAGGGTGCACTAAACCACTGTACTATCAAGGCTCTTTATATGTACCTGAAGTTATGCTCTAGCTTGAATTGAGAAAAGTGATTGATTGTGAAAAATAGGGATATAACTCTATATATTTCTGGAAGGCAAGCAGAAAAGTATGAACTTCAGTGAAGTGACTGTTCAGGGCTTGAACATTAATGGTGCGAAAATCCAAAGTAATTAAGCTAAAATTAATTGTAGCTATTAATGTGCATATACATAGTAAAAGCCAGTTTGATTAGTTTAAATCAGCTTAAAATAAACCATACATCATCCGTTTCATTTCCCCCCCACTGAATAATACTAAATCAATTAGAACTTCAGTTGTATTAATACCGGCTCATGGTATCTAGCAACAGAATGGAGTGCAAATCTGAAGGATAAATTATGTCAAAAACTGTATGTTGGGGGCTGGGAGGAAGAGTCATAACTGGCATCCTGCTGGTCATCTGCACTGCAAAGATATCTGGCAAGAATAGCTACCACAAAGCTCTTTTTGTGATGGTGCCACTATACAGCAATGACTGAAGCAGGTACACTGGTTTAAGGGCACCATGGAAGCACTGCTGATGAAAGAGAGGATCTGGAATGGAGCATTATTCTAATTCAATGTAAGGGGAATCTGCTCAGCATATACAATTTCCAGCAGAGGTGAGCTAAATCAGACTGCTCTTCCTTGTTGCAATTCTGCCCATCTATTTTCCTTGTTAACCCTAATCTCTAGAGTAAATCCTATGTGAATTATCTGTTTCTCTCTGTGTGTGAGTCTGTCGGTCTGTCTGTCTGTCTGTCTCTGTCTCTCTCTCTGTCTCTCTCTCTCTGTCTCTCTCTAAGAGAGAGAGAGAGAGAGAGAGAGAGAGAGAGAGAGAGAGAAAGAGAGAGAGAGAGAGAGAGAGAGAGAGAGAGAGAGAGAGAGAGAGATGTTGTTCTTTCCTAAGACCCATTTGAATATCTTGTGTCTCTAACTCTAAGAACTTCCAGTCATGATTTCTGACAACTGTAGCCCCTATTCATGTCGAGGGCATCAAACTAAGGATGTTACTCTATACCCAAGGACATACAGTGGATGCCTCAAATTTTGATTTTGCTGTTGCTCTTGCTGCTGCTGCTCCAGTGTGAGAAGCCGATCCCGAAAACTGAACCTCTGCTGTATCTTGATTGTTGTCAGTCTTTGACATTAAGCTTTAAGGATCTCCAGGCAGTGTGCTTGTGTCTACAGTATGCCTAACAGTTTAGCTGATCTTTCAGTTGTGTCTTGATCTGGCTGCCTCTCTCAACAGCTGCCCTGTTATATCTGGCTTACTGCCAAGATGCCTTCTCCATCGCTCTACTAATTCCAGACCTTTCTGGGAGATTCATCGCAAGTCGGTGCTTTGTGTTAGCTGGATTCTTCCCTGCCAACCTTCCTCCTCCTTGTCTGTCTGCTACTCATCTGCCTACAATCTGCTTTTCAGAGGAGACATGAAACTGCCTGCCTGAATGTCAGTCATTGATCACTGTAATCCTTGCAGATGCTGCCTGCCTTAACAGAAAAAACTGGCCAAGGGTGCCTAATGTTATTATATACAATATAGGTATATAAAATACATTGCATGCATTATATGCAATTTACAAACAGAGTGAAAGAAGAGAAAATACGTTATAAAAGCAGAAGAAACACCACCCTCCATAGCAACATTTGATGAAAAAAAAAAAGTTAGAATTTACAGTCCTCTTTTCTGCAATGTCTCAAATCCCATTCTTCACAAGCATGGTAAATGGCTAATTTAGTGCTATCGCTTAGTGAAATTGCTAGCTTTTTAGCTATCCACATCTGGTTGGACAATCTGAATGTATCAGATCCATATTCCTGGTTTTACTGCTCTTTGCTTCTTGAAATGTCAGTTGCAGAGAAGAAAGCATAGTTAAGTTGATTTTGTGCTCAATAACATGAAGACTGATTTCCAAGAAAGGATGTGATTTGTCCATGCAAGCTCAATATATGTAAGATCCTTGGGAGTTTCAAGGCCATAGCATCTTTCGATTCTTTTTCAAAGATGAATATCTTTTTTACCTTTGAAGGAGACCTCGGAGAAGTCCTTCTGACGATGGAACACGATCCATTTTTCTAGCCTCCATTTGCCTTTATTGATTTATTTATTAAATTAATACAGCTGCCCATCTCACAGAAAGAGTCTGGGTGGTGTACAAGAATTAAATAAAACAATATTTAAAACAATCACTGGTAAAATATAAAACAGTCATATTAAAATACACAAACCACCAGGCACAAGGCAGAATAAATTAGAACCAAGGTGGTGCAGTGGTTAGAGTGCAGTACTGCAGGCTACTTCAGCAGACTGCTAGCTGCAGTTCAGCAGTTCAAATCTCACGAGGCTCAAGGTTGACTCAGCCATCCATCCTTCCAAGGTGGGTAAAACGAAGACCCAGATTGTTGGGGGCAATATGCTGACTCTGTAAACCGCTTAGAGAGGGCTGTAAAAGCACTGTGAAGCAGTATATAAGTCTATTGCTATTGCTATAAATTAACTACAGTGATGAAGCCATCTTAGAATATCACTGGTCTACTGGGACCCCCAAACTTGATGACAAAGGCAGGCCTTGAGGGGCTTCCAGAACATTTGACTTCAGAAAGAACTTTCTGCGACTCTGGAATTGTCCAGGACTAGAGAGGACAACAAATGGTCAAAGATAAATCTGATGAAAATATTGATCAACCGAATTCAAGATTTGTTCCACATAGATAGTTTACTTCTCTTCCATTGTCAGCAACAAGAAGGAAGGATTTAATAAGGGACATAAAATACAGACAACACAGTTGAATTTATCCCTTCTGCGTGACCCAAAAAGATATAAAATAGTGATATTTTTCTCTTTTCTTCCCTCACAGGACTGGTCTACCAAAGCTTTAGATATATAGAAGGCAAACACAGGTATCGATATATCTTGATCTTCCTTTTATATGGGAGACACATTCCCAATACATCATTTTATATGGCAGAAATAATAGATTATGATAATAAAACAGAGATAGAAAAGGAGAAAGCAAGGCAAACATAAATGGGATGCCACAATTCATATTCCAATTTTTACCTGGAATACAAATATACAATATTGCATCAAAAGGCACCTTCGGGGACAAGCAAATTTCAAGTTTCATTTTGTCATCCATGTTTGCTTAAGCACACTGAAAACATAAGAAGAAGTTTGACAATTCATTTAGCTACTTTTTTGGCTTCAGGGAGAACTAATGGAACATCATATCTGTGTGTGCGTGTATGTGTGTGAATATGCAGTCCATTTGTGATGAAGTTAAAGTAAACTAAATTAATTTTGTCACGATGCTTTAGGCTGTCTTGGATGATGCCACCAACTGAGAGCAAATGGAAAAATTAAATGGAAGATGAAGCATTTTAAAGAACTCACGGGAAGACAGAAGGGGTACGTCT